AAATCAATCAGAGCATCAAGGAAATGCCACTTAATTAATCTTTTCGCTTCATTAGATTTTCCGATCATAATTAAATGATTAGTAGATATTAACTTTGTATTCAAGAGTACCACTCATGCATTTCTCCCCACTGACAATTAAAACGGCACAATGATCTCATATGATTGGAGGGAGATTGAGGACAAGAGCTTGAGTGTTTCTTGAGATAATATTAGATGAAATTCATAAATGGGAGTGTGTGTTTTGTGTGCCTGCGCGCAAATGGTTTAAGTGTCATTATTCTTTTCATGCAATTTCAAATTTCATGGAATATTGCAAAGAATCTCGCCAGCCTGGTGCTTTTGCAGCCCCCTGCTAGCAGTTCTGCTCTCTTCACAGAGACACCCAGCTTTTCCCATTCCTCTTGCAGGGTTTCATGTGCACCGGAGTGTGCCCTACAGCCGCGGTGTCTTAATGTCACAGGAAAATTAAAAAACTTCTACCTTCGCCAAGGGCCTGAATCTTAATATAGACCCTTGCTAAATCCAATACACTGGAAATTGTGACTAGGTGACAGGGTCAGTAAGTACTGATTAAAACTGAGGTCAGTAGATGGCCTTTGAAAAAGAGTGAAGAAGGAGAACAAAATACTCTTCTGAGGTGCTCCTTTAACAAACACTGAAGGCTGCTCTTATGGCAAGCGCTGTGGTGTTGCTCGCATTTAATTTCTATTTCATGCAACCCAGACCTCTAATAATTGCTCAGATATGTTTTGATGTCCTCTCTGGTCTGATATTGCTAAAATATTGTAGGGAATGAATAATTGTAGTATTGAGTGGTATTGTAAAGGCTAGGTTAAACTTGCTTTCTCTGTCTGAACAGATATTGGATGATGTTTATTTGGCTCAAGGGCTCAATAAGGAAAACACCCATTTTAAATATTTTCACAGCAGTCAAATAAGGCATTGTTTGTGACATTGTCAGCAAGTGTTGCTATTAGCATAGATTAAACTTTTTAGTGTAAAGATTAGTGTAATGATTACCTAAAGTCACTGATGGCTAATGGCCTTCCATAAAAAGAAAATCCACAAACACACAAGAGCACAATTTCCTCCCGGATCTTTCTGCTTTTGTTTTCTTCATGAGAAAAGAAGTATGAATGAGTTTATAGTGGTCTGAAAATAAAATAATAAAATTAAGAAAACAGATGACATCAATTTATATAATAACATTAATCAACAGCATTACTTTATATACGCTTAACAGATTATTGCATTCAGTAGTTTGAAATATGCCACTTATATAGGCTACACTTTGATTTATATGGATTTACTAGTAACACTGTAGTATTTCGATTAAATGGTTCATATTAAATATTAATATTAAATCTGTTAGAGAGTTAATTTCATTATCACCTGTCATAAATACAAATGTTAATAAAATATGATTACATTAATTTGTACACTAATCTACACTATTTTAATGTTGCTGTGGGACAATGTGAGAGACACCTATCAAATTCAATATATTATTGTAAATATTATCATTACTAGTGGAACAATAAAACACAATAGATGGTTTAGAACTTTTCATATTTATTGCACAGACCACAACTGGCCAACAAATAAATCTAAAAATCAATTATGCGTTTTAAGAAATGTACCAAAAATAAATAAATAAATAATAAAAAAAATATATACACATACACTTTTTGTAGTGCAAATTAAAATGATAAACTGTCACACAACTTCACAACTGGTAGACATACTGTAGCCTACTTGAAGTATTTTCTTCCTCACAAATGTAAACAGTTTAACAAGAAGTGCTCTCAATATAATACTGAACAATGTACCAAAAATAAATAATAATAAAAATATACACTCTTTGTAGTGCAAATTAAAAATATGAAACTGATATGTAAACAGGTAATAAAATAAAAATAAAACTCCATGGCCATCTCTGACCATTGGCCATATACAAATCACACAAGTGCTCCTCTCACAGTAGAGGTCAAGCAGAGGGCACTGTTGTAATCCCCTCTGGCTCTATTCAAATCACTGTCATTTGCCACATAAAGCCAACTTTAGCTCCTGGACATACATACATACATACACTCCTTCATAACACTCATCCATCCATGCATGCATTCATTCATCCATCCATTCTTCCACCATAGCAATCCATTCACCCAACCCAGTCATCTAACCATCCTAGCCATCCATCCATTCTCCCCATCCATTCAAGCCATCCTAACTTTTAAACCAGTGGTTGTATCTCAAAACCAGAAGCTTCTCAAACTTCTGGTCAGAGAGCCTATTCCTCTTTGGAGTGATGACAAGTTAGTCTCTCTACTGGGGCACTGGACGGAGTGGCTGCATTATATCGGAGTGAAATTTTCTTTATCACTGCAAATCCAGAGAGAGAGAGTCTATCTCTTGTGCTCCTGATTTGAAATAATCTGTTACTTGACTTTCAGCAGTAGAAGAGGTGTCATCCTCATCCTCAAAGGAAAAGAACTCATCCTCTATGGCTGAGTCTCTGCTAAGGTGGCGTGTTGATGTGCTGGTACCTGCTTGCTGGTCTTGGTCTAGGACAATTTTCCGGCACTCTGCCAGCAGACTTGCCTTGGCCTTGTCCTTCCTGTCCTGTATCCGAAGCCAACGTAGTTTGAACTTGGGCAGGGTTACAGCAGCCAAGATAGCATCCTCGCATTCCAGCACCTCTGCAAATCTTGTTTTGATTGCCAGAAATAATAAGGATGCAAAGAACATATTATACTATTTGTCTATATATATATATACACACACACACACACACACACATTATTATCAGTTTAAAATTATATTTGTGTATGACTAGCCTGTACTATTTCTTTACAACAAAACGCTTTGCAGGTCCATCATCTCAAGTCGCAGATCATAACTGTAAAGCCTAGAATATAAAGTTATTAATTTTCCATCCATCCAAATAAATAAAATGCAATTCTTGGGTGACTGGTTAAAGATATTTAAATAAATGAAAGTTCTTACCATGACAACTGCCTCTGGAAGGTCAACTACGATTTGCAGGCCACTCTTCAATTCCAAGGACTTGAAAATCAATGTCTCCAGTGTGGGTAGGAGTGTACCATGGAAACAGTTGTCTTCTCCCTGAAGATCGTCTAAGTGTAACGTAGGAGGCGTGACGACGGAGTTGAGGATCCAAATGCAAGCCTTTTATTATAGAGTACAGTATGTATAAAACAGTCAGGGTCAAACACCAGAAAACAGTAATATCTAAGCAACAGGCAAAAGGGTAATTCACAAGAAAAGCAAAGGTCAGGGCAGGCAACAAACAATCAAAAACCAGGTAAACAGACCAAGATCAAAACACGAAGGCCAGGCAAGAAAACATGGTACAAGGAAATAACGGGAAAACACAGAAACTAGGAGTACACTACAGGCTATAACCATTAGCGATGTGTTTGTGTCTTAGTGCATCTTTTATAGTCCTTCTAAAATGAGGCAGCTGTGAACTGGGCACTCCAGTGGGTGATCGTGACAGACCCCCCCCCTAAGGACCGGCTTCCAGACACTCCCTAACAGACCAGAGTCCAGGAGGGAGGTGGAGCGGAGGTGGAACAGGGGGAGGGATGGAGGGCCAGGTCCATGAGGAAGGGGAGGAACAGGGGACTGAGGTAAAGTTGGCGGAGCAGTGAGCCAAGGCAGAGCTGGCAGAGCAGGGTGCCAGAGTGGAGCCGACAGAGCAGGATGCCAGGGTGGAGCCGGCAAAGCAGGGTGCCAGTGCGGAGCTAAAGAGCACCAGGGCAGAGCAGGTGGATCAGGGGACCACCAGAGCGGAGCTGAAGACCACCAGAGAGGAGTAGGCAGAGCTGAAGACCACCAAAGCGGAGCTGAAGACCACCATGGCCGAGCAGGTGGAGCAGAGGACCACCAGAGCAGGGCAGAAGACCACCACAGTGGAGCAGACGGCATTGAAGACCACCAGAACGGAGCAGGTGGAGCTGAAGAGGACCAGAGCAGAGCAGGAGGGGCAGGCGGATCAGAGGACCACCAGAGCGGAGCAGAAGACCACCACGGAGGATCTGGCATGACTGAAACAAAAGGCACAGAGAGGTTAACAGCGGCCTCTGCGGCCGTAACAAGACGGGTGGACACTTCATTAGTGGCATCCCTGGCCGGTTCAGGACAGGACGAGAGTTCATAGGCAGCCCCCATGGCAGTGACAGGATAGTCAGAGAGTTCACAGGCGGCCTCCATGGCCGTGACGGGACAGGCAGAGAGTTCACAGGCGGCCTCCATAGCTGTGACAGGACAGGCAGAGAGTTCACAGACGGCTTCCATAGCCGTGACTGGACAGTCAGAGTGTTCATAAACCGCCTCCTTGACCATAACAGGACAAACTAAGAGTTCAGAGACAGCCTCCCTAGCTGTAACGGGACAGTCATAGAGTTCACAGAAGGCCTCTACGGCCGGGTCGAAACAGGACACAAGTTCATAGACAACCTCTGTGGTCGGTTCAGGACCAGACACAAGTTCATAGACGACCTCCGTGGTCGGTTCAGGACAGGACGCAAGTTCATAGATGGCCTCAGTGGCTAGTTCAGGACAGGATGAGAGTTCAGAATCGACCTCATTGGTCATGACAGGGTAATCAGAGAGTTCAGGAAAGGCCTCCTTGGCCAGGACAGTGCAAACAGAGAGTTCAGCAAAGGCCTCCTTGGTCGGGACAGGACACTGAGTGTGTTCAGAGGCAGTCTTTGTGACCGTATCAGGCAGGGCTGATAGTTCATGACTGGCTTTGAGGACAGAGATGGGTTTGACAGGGGATTCACTGATGGTTTCCATGACCTCATCAGGACAGACAAAGAGTTCATAGATGGGCACCCCTGTCTTGAGAGGAGCTGAAGCGAACACCTGCAGCTTCACCTGGAGGTTCTGCAGCGGGTGCCGCCACCTCTGAAGGTTCTGCAGCAGTGGCAACAGGAGCTTCACAAAACACAGAGACTTCATAGACGGCCCTTACGGCCATAACAGAGGAATCGGGAAACAGGGAAAGTTAAAAATTTTGTCCGTGGTGGAATCAGAAGTGACTGGGACCACAGAGAGCTCAGGGAAGAATACCGCTGCTGTCTCAGGAGGAGCAGAGGCAGATGTCACCACCATGAGAAGTTCTGCAACGGAAGTTGCCACCTCTGGGGGAGCTGGAGTGGACTCAGGGACTGGAGTTAGCTCAGGAGTGGATTCGGGGACAGGAACAGACTCGGGAATGAATTCGGAGACTAGAGCGGACTCTGGATCAGACTCGTAGGCCGGAGCAGACTCATGAGCTGGGGTGGACTCTGGAGCAGACTTAGAAATGGATTCTGGAACTAGAACCGGCTCTGGAATAAATTCAAGTACTGGAGCAGGCTCTGGGACTGGAGCGGGCTCAGGAGTGGATTTGAGTACTGGAGCAGGCTCTGGGATTGGAGCGGGCTCTGGCACAGAAGCAGACTCTGGGACTAGAGTGAACTCAGGAACAGATTCGGGGACTAGAGTGGGTGCCACCACCTCGGGAGGTTCTGCAGCAGAGGCTGCCACCTTTGGCGAAACTACGGTGGTGTGTGCGGCCCAAACACAGTGTAGCAAAGTTCGTAGTCACGGGAAGAAGGAGGCGGGAACCGGCGGACATTTAAACAAACTTTAATAATAAAATAAACAAACACAAAATAACGCGACAGCCCCTCGCGGACGACTGTCGCGCACAAACAAAACCAAAACACAAAATAAACTCCAGGCCTGGTCCTCTCTCGTCCAACACTGTAGTCACTCCTCCTTTATCCTTCCGGAGCTCCTC